CAGAATGATAAGGTAGAACACAGCATAACACCAAGGAACAGAGCTGTATATTATCTTAATGATTTTGGAGAAAAAAACAAATACTGATTGTGATCCCATGGGCTGAGGTTTAAGTCCCTCACCATAGCTTTCCCAAAGCTGTCAGGAGTGGAAGTTCTGCTCTTTGCACCAACTTGCTTTTGACACATAATGGATCACTTTGGGTATTTCTCAGCTACCTTGGAAGACTTGTGGCTCCACTAACTCAGCCATGGGCTAAGGATGTGGACCATGTGAATTGCTGAATGGTTCATGGGTGGCATCATGGAGGAACAAACAGCACCAGCAAGAGAGAGGCCTTGGCTTGTTCCTCCAGCTGACTTTGGAAAAACCACTCAACCTCTCTTAGCTTATTTCCAACACTGTAGAGCGTCTGAAGTCTAGACTAAGTGGCCTCCCAAATTGGATGGTTCTGCCCTTCTCTGAACTAGCAAGCCAGTTCTCCTTCTCCAGACAGCAAATTCTATTTAGATTTTGTATGTTGTTCAGATAAAACACTATGAATAGGGGACTTCCGCCAAGATGGAGGCGTAGGTGGAAGCACTGTGCCTTCTCACACAAACAAGTTTAAAAACAACAAAGTTTTAGCAACAAAAACGCAGCCAAGCCACAGAAAATTGAACTACACAGAAGTCTGACAACAACGAACCCTTCAGCCAAACCAGTAAGAGGGGCAGAGCCAGCAGCAGAGCGGGGTTGGGCAGGAAAGATCCACTGGACCGACCTGAGTGCGCAACCCAGGTGCACGGGCAGCCGTAGGTGGATCCCAGGTGTGGAGTTGTGGGTGGACCCACTGAGGGCGCAAGGCAGTGGACCCACTGAGGGATGACCACAGTCACACATTTGAGCACAGATAAACCGGTGAAGGAGCAAAGTAGTGAGACAGACTGTGCAGGCCCCAGTGGTGGAAAGTGGCAGAGGGGACTGCCATTGTCCCTCTCTGACCCACCCCCACATACAGCATCACAAACCAGCAACCTGGGTGGCCCCGCCCTGGTGAACACCTAAGGCTCTGCTCCTCATAAGTAACAGGCACGAACAGATCAAAACATGGCTCAAGAACAACTCAGAGCCCCAGAGCCGATAAATCTAAGCAATGAAGAAATAGCCAAACTTTCAGATGCACAGTTCAAAACACTGGTGATCAGGATGCTCACAGAACTGGTTGATTATAGTCACAAATTAGAGGAACATATGAAGGCTAAACTAATTGAAATGAATGGAAATGCACAGGAAACCAATAGTAATGGAAAGGAAACTGGGAGTCAAATCAAAGGTGTGGACCACAAAGAGGAAAAAAAATGACCAAACAGAAAGGATGAAAAAACAAGAATTCAAAAAAATGAGGAGAGGCTTAGGAACCTCCAGAACATCTTTAAATGTTCCAATATCAGAATTATAGGGATACCAGAAGGGGAAGAGAAACAGCCATGAGTGGAAACCTTATTTGAACAAATAATAAAGGAGAATTTCCCCAATCTGGCAAAGGAAATAGACTTCCAGGAAATCCAGGAAGCTCAGAGAGTCCCAAAGAAGTTGGACCCAAGAAGGAACCCACCAAGGCACATCATCATTACATTAGCCAAGATTAAAATGAAAGAGAGAATCCTAGAAGCAGCAAGAGATAAGGGGACAGTCGCCTACAAAGGAGTTCCCATCAGACTGTCAGCGGATTTCTCAAAAGAGACCTTACAGGCAAGAAGGGGCTGGAAAGAAGTATTCCAAGTCATGAAATCCAAAGACCTACATCCAAGATTGCTCTATACATCAAAACTTTCATTTAGAATGGAAGGCAGATAAAGTGCTTCTCAGATAAGATCAAATTCAAGGAGTTCATCATCACCAAGCCCTTATTACATGTAATGTTAAAGGGACTTACCTAAGAAAAAGAAGATAAAAAAGATGAACAGTGAAAGGACAGCAAACTCACATTTATTAAGAGCCACACCTAAAACAAAAGCAAACTAAGAGGACAGCTAGATCAGGAGCAGAACCATAGAAATGAAGATCACATGGAGGGTTAGCAACAGGGGAGTGGGAGAAGGAGAAGGAGAAGGGGGGAGAAGGTACAGAAAATAAGTAGCATAGACAGTAGATAGAAAATAGATAGGGGGGAGGGCAAGCATAGTATGGGAAATATAGAATCTAAAGAACTTGAGACACGTGGTCATAAACTAAAGGGGGGGCATGGTGGGGGAGGGGTGTGCAGAATGGAGGGGAATGAAGGGGGAAATAGAACTGTAATGGCATAATCAACAAAATATATTAAAAAAATTTAAAAAAACCCAAAACAACAAAAAACACTAAGAATATAATTCCTAGGTAAGGGGCCAGCCCCACTGCCACGTTAGGCTGTGAGGCTGGACTGCATTCTGCAGATCCACAGGCAGGGCCTCTGCAGGTGAGAAGTGGCAAGGGACTGCCCACTTCTCCCTCTATGGCCAGTATGGACAAAGACCATGACCTCTATTCAGGGACCTCAGCCCTTCCCCATTTCTATACCCATCCTTTTCTCCTGCCCTTCTCTAGCTCAAGCCTGATTTACTCCATAAAAATTTCCCTGGAGATCAGTTAGGAATCCTCTGGTTGCACAATGTCTGCCCTGCAGTTGAGCATTTAGACGTCTTTGGTCCCCACTCAGTTGTTGCTGGTTTCCATGCATTCTTCTTGTCTTACGAGTTCCTGTATGAAAGGAGACGAGTCTCACACTTCTGCCTTCCCTATATCTGTGTGAGTGGAGGGAAGGTCAGTAAATTTGGTTCATTGACTCAGAGTTGGGGATTGGAGATAGAAAACCAATACATGACCACCAGGTAATTCTAAGTGTTCAGTCTGAGCCTTTATCCAAGTGTGTCGTAATGAAAGCCAGTTAAAATATAAATGTCCCAGTAACAGTAAGAATGACATGTAAAGTCCGCATGATAATTTTGGGTTTGCCAAGCACTTTTCTCATAATATACTCAATTCTTACACCAGTTTTGTAGGAGTTTCAGTAGAGTGAACTGAGGTTCGAGCAGGTAAAGTATGTATTTGGCTTTCTATACAGGGTGTTTTTTCACTAGTCCATAGATTTTCCTTTAAAAAAAATAAGGTTGAAATGGAATAGATGGAGTGATCTTGGGAGCAGAGAAATTTGGGCCTAAATCTTTTTTTTTTTGAGAAACGGATTGCCGAGGTTGTGAATCTTCTAGAGTAAGTGCATGTGAGTGGATAAATGCACGTGCGGAACTGAGCAGCAACTATCTTTGCTGCTCACATAGAACTTCCTCAGCCCGAAGTCATCTTGATCTTCCAAAAACCATATAACCACACGTGGGTCTCATCCGCAGCTCTAGGTCTGCAGTGGGAGAGGGGTGGCCACCTGGGAGCAAGGGCAGTTAGGGCAGGAAAACCATTAGATGGAAAGGAGTTTTGGGCCGATGGGAAGTGCACATGAGTTTGGCTCTGTGGCCTTTGGGGGCCCTGGAGTTCCCACTGATAATTGGGGTATGGAGCTGACAAGAGGTGGTCTCTGTACCCTGGTCTAATTATTCCCCGTGGTCCATCCGAAGAGAAATGTATTCTTGGCCTGTGTCGGAGCGTGACCCCAGCCAGCCGGCTTGCTGGGTCTGGGTCCACTCCCTCCCTCGATGAGCTCTGGAGACAGATACCCACTTCAGAGGAGTGTGGCTTGCCTGGCCACAGACACGATCCCCCACAGGGGCATCAGCACGTCCAGGCTGGGCTGGCTGCTTGACCAACACCATCACGCCTGCTTATGAGTCACCAGACAACAGGAAGGGAGTTGTCGCTTCTGACTAAAGGTCAAAGCAATAGTCAAGTTTTCAATGATTCCCCACTGCTCTGAAAATGAGAATGTCTTACCATTTTAAGTGAAAAATGTTATTTCTTCCACTGGAGGATATTTTATCTGTAACTTCCAGTTTCGAATAAACCTAATGGAAATGCCAAGCAGAAGACATCAAATTCAGGGTGTACAGAGAATAGGATGGAACCAAATGTCTCCTGCTTCTGCTGGCAGTAGCTTAGCCCGCCTTGAGGCTACAACAACCCTGCTGGCTGCCCCCATGGGTGGAGCCCCCTAAAACAACATGCACAAGCTTTCCCACCAGCTGCTAGACAACGCCAAGGCGACCCAGCTTTGGATGTAAAGAAATACCTTCAAGTACATGCATGTGGCTCCTTAAAGGAAGTTGCCTTAAGTTTTACATTAGAAGAGGAAACTGTCTGGAAAGAAATGAACTCGGGTGCTTCCCTGACAAACTGTTTCTGTCTTAGCTCTTTAATGTCCACAGTGTGGTTCCATTATAATAAATAGCCAGGGTTTCCAGGATGGTGAATTCCTCTGCAGAGGATCAGATGAATGAATGCTTTAAATTTGCTGTCATTGAATTTCACTGACCATTGTCCCTCAGAGGGAACTTGAACATTCTCAATACACTGTCATTTGGGCCAAACAGAGCTGCATGTGTTTTGGGGCACATAAAAAAGTGGTTGAAAGAATAAAAGTAGGCATGAAAGGCAGACTTGGTGACTGTCCAATCATGCCGGGAGGGACGAGGACTCTACCCTGTCCTTTGAAGCCAGGTTAGATCTCTGACAACACTGGACAGTAAGCAGGTAGTTTTTCAAGTAGCCAAGACTGCCTGAAGAATGGTATGTCATCAGCAAAGATTTCTCTTCCTTCGGAGTGGTAAGAAGACATCATTGGCAACATTCAAGTTTGGCCAAATCATCCCTTTGTGTGCCAGTTTCTAGTCGTCTCTCTGGCTGTCTCTGGGGACCATTTCCACCCAGTGGAGGTCTGTAAAGACTGTGGGTTCCTGGGACTCATCTGCTGTGTCTCACTGCAGAATGCTGCTGTGCTAGTTCTAATGTTCGAAATAGAAACATTGTCAACACAGACAAAATGTTTTATATAGAAGGGTCGCTCACAATGACTGGATTCTTGAGGCAGTGTGTCAGGTATGCATGATTTTATTTAAAATGTGTCCAGTAAGATTTTCCACCTGGGGTGAACACTTTTCTCTTCCCGCATATTATTATAAACAGTACTTCTTCATTTCATGGAGTTTCTTAGAAAGGTCTAAGTAACTTAACAGAGGAGAGAAATGAAACTGTGGGGAGATTAAATAACGGGAAGTTTATATCACAGTGGGGTGCTTACGCATCCCAGCCTCGGGGGACACACAAGTGACTACAGGGTGAAGAATTAAACCCGGTCATGCAAATCGTCAAACGATCACTTGGTACCCTTTGGCAGTTCTGGCATTCCCTGTCACTAGCACACATGATAAAATGAGTCATTGAGTGGAAAACTGTCTTTTGTTTTTGGTGGTGGGGTGACCAGCAGAGAGAAGACAGGAGCAGAAGCTCGCTGTCAGAGGAGCCTCTCAGGATATCGGCAAAGACGGTCCGCATGCCACCACCCTTCGCTCTGAGCCCCAGGGAGCGCGTACCTGGTGCCCGTAGGGCTGTGCACCCCACTGTGGCCACAGCAGCCCTGCCTTTCGCCTGCGGGCTCTGGTTTCTCTGTGGGCACCACCCCATCAACATAGAGAGCACATCTGAACCAAGAGGGCAGTTGTTTTAAATCACTAGAACCTGGCAATATTAAAATTTTGTTTTCATGAGCCAAAGGTCATAGCACAGATGAGGTCTACATGTTGTCACATGGGGCCACAGAAAGACATGTCTTCAAGTGATGTTGCCCTGCCAGGGAGAGAAACAGAGAGAGAGAGAGCACAGCAAACACGTACCGGCGACGCAGGGCACTCCTATGGAATACGAACGGCGCCACGGACAGGAAATGGGCCGAGCAGGTGGCGTCGAGGTGCCTGCCTGCCCTTTGGAGCTGCTGTCATGGGGAGAAGCTAAGGGCAATGTGGTCAGGGTGGAGGGGCAGGCGGGCCAGGAGATGTCGCCATCTCAACATTTGTTCTATAGTGACTTAGAGATGATCATTCATTTATGATCGAAACTTAATCCCGAACAGCATTTGCTCCCTCTTTCTCTCTGTAAACACATCTGTTCATAAATAACTTAAATGTCTCCTTGGCATTCAGGATTCAGTTCCGGCTGGAGTAAAAAAGGATGGAGGATGTTCAGCGTCGAGGAGGAGATGCCGGGTGTCTGTGTGCGTGGAGAGGTGCAAACATCAGCCATCAGAAACGGGAGGGGTGACCCAGCCGTACTTCTCATGCGTCTTCACCAAACTCTTAAAGGTGGCTTCCGCTTCCTTGCGACTGAAGGACTTTTTTGATTTGCCAGCTTTTCTACAGATCCGCCCCTGTGTGAGAGGAAAAAGAAGCCAGGTTAGAACTTCAGTAGGAATCCTGTTTTCCACCATCTGTGTTCAAAGAGGTAAAGTTGTGGTCATTCTTAATGTCTGAATCCGTGTGTTGTAAACAGAGATACTGAGCATTACAGCTTTGGTACAAGACACGTGGCGGGAGTCCAGTGCCTGGCAAGCTTCTAGGGCAGGGGACAGGCAGGTCTTCACAAACCCACGGCACTGGCTTCCTCTGAACTTGACCCTTCTGCGATGCTGGAAAGCAGCCTCTGCCAGTCCCCGAGAGGCAGGTCTGGCTTCATCAAAGCATCAGTGCAGAACCCAGGGTGCCATCCCCAAGGCAGATACTCTTCAAACTTCCTGCTCTTCCAACTCATGCCTTCAGTTATGACTTTTAGTTCCTCTCACAGTCAATATTTCTACATTTCTACATAGATGAGCATATTTATATAGTCACACACACACTTAAAACACCTGACTTTAAATTCAAGCTCAGGAGAAATTAATAAATTTCTTAGATGTCACACCACTGGGGAGTTGGCGGAGCCATTTACATGGAGGGGTAAGTCTGCCCTGAAGTTCCCAGGGAGGGGCTAAATGTGAGGGGCCAGTGGTTGCTCACACAAACTTTGGAGATGGACACCCAGGGACGGCTCCACACCCCACCTATAGCGACCAGGTATGTTCTGGTCCGGAGATGGGACATTTGGGTCTGCAGTAGAAGAAAAGATCAGATTCATTTTAGGATGCACACAGAAGGTTCTAGACCACAAAAGACATGGAACCAGAGACACTGCTAACATGACCATGTCTCGGGCCATCACCACCCTTCCAGATAGCCCTCCAGAAAGGAGGTTTATTGGCCCTCAGAAAGAACAAGCAGGCTGAAGACAGCAAGGAGTCTGGGCAGCGCCTGGCCCTCAGTCGGACAGAGTTTTTGCTACTCCCACGGTTCCAGCCTCAGGCATTCTTCATTACGCCTCTCAATGGCAGATCAACTGAAGCTCACTCTGAGCCTCTTGGACACATTTTCTTGCACTTGACTTCTCTTTGCTCCTCCTGGAAGACCTGGCCTTTCTGAGTGTCTCACGTGTGCATTTCGCTGCTGGTGTGGAAACACCCTGGAAAGACTTGGCTAGTTTCCTCCACCAGCAAGTGCACACATAAACATTCTCCTGTTGTTTATAAATGTCTACTAAGAATGATCTCTGAGTGGGCCCTCTGCATTCCTGATAAGTAATATTTTTGTTCTAGCACACCTGGGGGCAGGTGCCGTCTATGTCTAATGGTGACCTGAATCAGAGCCAGGCCTCACTAGGTCACATTGCAAACCTGTTCCCTTGGACAGGCACCGAGGGCAGCAACCACTCAGGCTTTGTATGATGGGCAAGGTGCACCCAGTCTTAGGTTTCTCTGATACTCCACTGATAGCTCTGTACTGGCCTCATATTCCACAGGGAAAATAGCAGCTGACCACTATAAACTGGGAATGGAAGAGTGTCCCACATACTTAAATTCAGTGCTTATGGTTCCTTTCAACAGTGGATACTCAGACCAGCACCCCAGCGAGGAGTCAGAAATCCAGAGTTACAGTTGTTCTCTGTCCCCCCAACCTCTGGACACCGCTGGATGAATCTGTCCACCTGCCCATCAAGGGCAGCACCACTGCTGCCCTTGATTTCGAATTTGCTGCCTGGTTCACGTGATGTGAGCCGCTAGAAGGGTGAAGGGAGACAGGAAGAGGAGACAGGAAACTGCCACTTACTGGCTTCTAGAAACTTCCCCATGTCTCACCAGGACATGAAGCCCAGTATTAATTTTATAACATCCTATGGTGCTTATCTGGTGTAGTTATACTTGATTAAAGGGGACCACCACAAGCTAATACATTTATAATCATCACCACGGGCTGAGATCAAAATGCAAAGTTACTTCATTAAAAATATGCAAATGTGTCTGTGTAGGAATATTGGCATCAATTTCTACATGAGTGAAAACAAATATTAACGGCTACGTTTTTTGAATAAAATGCAAATTCGAATCGCCTCTATGATTCTTTTCTACGATGATGGAAATTTCTGGTGTGATTTGAGAATTCTGTACTCACAGCAGCCAGACAAGTACAGGCTGATGATAATCTTGGAATATTCTGTCACTTTTGGCATGAACACATACGTGGCCTATGCTTTGTGAAAGTCCCAATTGTTACCAGAAACAACAGACAAGACCCCAGATGAACAGACTGCTCTTTGTGGCCTTTTCCCCGGGAAGAATTATGAACATAAAGCGCCAGCACTCAGTCTATTCAGCGGCCGAGAGACAGAGCCTGCTGTCAGCTCGTTGGAGGTCCCCGCGCCTTGGCCGTGCTCAGCTGTCCACAAAGGGCTCTCCTCTCCTCTCCTGTTTCCTACGCCCCACTCAACAGTTAACAGACACCTTTTCATAGACTGCCTGCCCTCTGCTGATTGGCTATTTAAGTATCACCCAGTGCCACGCTGAGCTCGAAAATGACCACTTCCATTTCCTGGCTCTGCCACGGTGGCTGAGCCTTTTAGCTGAAATGCCCTCAAGGTGCCCGCTGCGCCAGGAAGGAGAGGACGGCTCCACCCGTCCTGGTCCCCTGGTGTTCCAGGGTCTGGTCACCTGGAATCTGGGCTTTGAGGAAACCTTCAGCCTCACTCCTCTGACTCTCCGTGTTTTCCTCTGAAAAGTGGGGACAGTAACTGCCTCACAGTAACCCATGAATGTCTGAGAAGATACTGAATGTGGAAATATTTCAAGAATTTTAAACTATATACACTTAATTAAGAAATATTTTCCTTTTCATAATATAGGTATTTCTTCCTTTCCTGCTTCCATTTAACTAAAAATCAAACAGTCTATTGTGGGCATTTTTGTGAGAATAACTCTTATTTTTCCTAAAATTCCTACTTGTGCTTAATGCTGAAAGACCCGGATGTGACAATTTACTCAGCCCACCGTGATGGCGCTGTTGACTCTAGGAAGTTAGAGAAGTAAATGCTCTCCTGAACCACAGGCTGTAAATGCACAATTGTGAATAACATAAGATTTTCCCCCAAGAACCTGAAAAATCTCACCATAATATGGATGCACAACAACGTTGATGAGAATACAGCTCTCTGGGGCTGCATCTGTCGAACAAAACCTTTAGCTGGTGCTCTGGTTTGACTGTTTTGGGAGCCAAGCACCACGGTCAACATGAAAACATTTCTACACAGCTAATACGTTTCCCCAGACTCAGGTCCTCAGTTCAGCCAGCTGACCTTACAGGGTTTTCATCACCTCCATGTGCACACTGAATTTCCATCTGGCTCTGTCACTCTGAGTTTCTCTCCCTCATTCACTCATTCATTCTGTTGGGTGCTTAAAAGATGACACAATCTAGGCCCCTGCCCTTGGGGGCTTCGAGTCCATTATGGGGATAACTGGGTATTTGCAGTTGCTGAGACAGACGGTGTACATCAGGGTTGCTCAGCCTCAGTTCCTTTGATGTCACGGGCTGGAGAATTCTTTGTAGTGGGTGAGGGGGCGGGCTGTCCTGTGCATGGTGGGATACTTAGCAGTACCCTTGGCCTCCACCCACTAGATCCTAGCAGCCCTCCTTGAATTAGGATAACTAAATTGTCTCCAGACATTGCCAAGCAAAATCACCCAGCAATGACAACCCCTGGTGTACAGAAGCAAGGGGGAGTCGGTTTATTCTCTGGCAAATAATTGCTACAAGTCTTCTCCATTAGAAACTGTGGCGGTTACTGGGACTGCAGGACCATCCAAAGTGGAGATGATTCTGGTCTTCATACAGCTTGTGGGGTGGGGATTAAAGTCTACCATGGGGCAGAGAAAAAGAATAGGTGGGGAGAGGGGTAGTGTCAGTTGTCTGAGCATCCAGGAAGATTTTTTTGTCTAATTACACTTGAGCCGATCTTTGAAATATGGGCAAGTAGGGGTTTACTAGGTCCTGATGATGTGGATACGGAGTCCCAAAGCAGAGGCTGAAACAGTCGGCTATATTTAGGGAATCACGGGTAGACTCCTGGTAAAGCTGGGCACAGAGTATGGGTGTGTGCATGTGCTTGTGAGTGTGTGCGTATGTGTGCATGTTAGAGTTGGATGGGGTGCAGCATTCAACAGACCTGGCCTACAATCCCTGCTCCAACATTTCCTGGCTGTGTGACTTTGGGCGAGTTACTTAACCTCTCTGAATCTTAATTTTCTCATCTATAAAATAAGCATAATAATAGTATTATATGACACTGGATTTTTACAAATATTTAATATGCTGAAGCATATGATATGCTTGGCACAGTGCCAGGTACAAGACAAAATAAATGGTGCATTTTGTCTTTTAAACTATAGGGTCGTCTGTGGCAAAGTTAGTTTCACTGTGTCCTTTTGAAAAGAAACAGACAATTTTCTTTTTTTGTTGTGGATATTACAACTTAGTTTATTTGTCACGAAAATGTCTTCAGGCAAATCCAATATTGAAATTTATGTGGTTAATTTCTCAGCCTTTTAAGTAATGTCTATTTTAACAAGTTGACACAAATGCATTCATTCTCTATTTCTCCCTGAATTAGATTTTTCTTACTTTTTTCCTTTGCGAAGACACCTTCATTTCATTTCTGTGTTTCATTTACCTATGAATCACAGGCTTCTGCTCTTTTCAAAATAGAACTTCCAGACAAGTCATGCAAAGTTCTAAAGTTCCTTCACTCATTTCCTGGACTGAATTACAGAGTAGCTATTTGTTTTCAAAGTCTTGGAAAGTGTAATTATCGGTCTACTTAGCACTCACAAACCCTAACCCCTGCAACAACGTGGGTTTCGAATGTGTGTTAGGCTCCTCTCCAGCAGGGGAGACTTCCTGGAGGAGGTTGCTCAGGAGCTGGACTCAAAGGCCAAGTGGAATGATCCAGCCAGAATGCCGGCAGCCAGGAGGAGCTCTAGGAATCGGTGTCCAGGTGCTCCTGGTAGGA